CGTTTTTGTGTGTTTAAATTCATGTTGGTATATGTGCAAAGGGTTATATTTGGTTTCTATATCTAAAGTCGGAAATGTCAAAAAAACACACACTGCGCTCATGTCTTTAAATACTTGTAAATTCAAGACAGTTTTGTCATTTTCATTTGAATCGAGAAATATATATACTGTTAACATGCTGCATGTATATGTATATATATACAGTGTATTCATAACATGAAGCAGTGTATAACTTAAAAACTTAGCCTTATCAACCAACCTGGCCCAGTGAACCTGGACTATACCTGCAGTGTCACTAAAATACTTTCATGTGCAATAGATATGTTAAAGAAATAGAAATCGATGATTTTTGAACAATTTAACTAAATAATAGGTTGGGAATTGAATGCGTAACATTTTTGGTTATTTTTATATCCGTTGTGTTGTTCGGAAAATTTTTAATACACTATTCTTTATTCCGGCACATTCTTGCACATTCTTGAACAGTCACCAGATGCAGCAGTAAACTATGTTAATCACACCTTGCTATTGACTATTGTCCCCTAGCATTTCGCTAGCCGACATTTGTGAATGCATGTGACAAAGTAAGATCATGCATGTTTCTCAAAGTAAGATCATGCATGTTTCTAAGACGATGGCACTTCTCGGTATATCTATTTCGGTACTTCACAAGCCTGTGCAGGAAACAAAATGATGTATATGTGGCATTGCACACATCACTTTCTTAAATCTGCTCGCCCAGATAAAGGTCTCTTCACATGGCATGGTGTTGAAATGGGATGGTATCTTCTCGTCTGGGTTATAAAGTCGCATTTTGGGTTGACATGGTTTCTCAAGTGGAGTCTGTCAATAGATTTCTTAATCAATTTCCAAGCTTCATTGAAAGGTTTTGGAAATGGGAGATCTGATTTTGCAATTTTAAGGTTATCCAGGTGGCACATATTGTTATATGCCAGGCAAACGGTTGACATTGCTTGTCGAATATCCTCATCAGAATGCGAATCTTTCATCTTCTTAAATTTCTTGAATAGCCACAAAACTGTCACCAGAAAGGCTTGTGCTGGTGACTCCGACCTAAATTGACACAGACATTCCAATTCTTAGATTACACTTAAAACTCTTAAAAAAGTTAAGCTTAAAATTTGATAAACCTAAAATGAAAAACTTTTACTGTAGCATGGCAAATAAGTTGAATTGTATAACTTATACTTGTGACCATTAGTTATCCGCTTAGTAAGTTATACATTCCAGTTTATAGAATTATTCAAATGTAGAGGATTAACAGGATACATGGGCAGACAGTCTGATTAACCCATTGAGCGGCAGCACTCTCCCCTTGACGAGTAAAATCAAAGTAAATCTGACAAAGTAAAATAATAAAGTAGGGCACATCAGGGTGCATTGCCACTTAAAATATTAAATTACACCCATGTCTCATTTCAGCCAGACGTTTGTCTCTGTTTTTATGCATGACATAATGCTTTAAATCAGATACATTAATTAATAATAATTAATCAATGCCAATCATAAAATGTACAATAATGAAATGTGCATGCTGTGGTAGGTCATATGACTCGTATGCAATTTATATAAAAATATTGAATTTGTGAAAGAAGATACTAAAACAAACCTATAAAGTGGCTGCCAGTACTCAATATGACCTCCAGCACTCACAATAAAGAAAAGCCCCCTTGACCAACTGTGGAATGCTTTTAGACCACCAGTATCTTTATTGCAAGCTGTCTCTTCTATTAGTGACTGGTCTTCAGTAAATGTTGGATTGCAAAAAAAATCTGCAGTTCCTTCAAAATGTAAAAGAAGCACAAATTACACAGCACAAGTTACACTTGAAAATAGAAAAGGCAACATTTGAAACTTATATCCATGGAGAAATTGTATATATCCATGATTTTTTTACAATGTTTGATCCACTTATATTGCCTTACATACAATGCATGTTCTAATAAGTTCCGACTCTAAAAATAGACACATATAAGAAATGCATGCTTACTTTATGGAACCTTATGCAATATATAATTATCAATAAAATAAAACATTGTCATCAAGTTTAGATAAGTGTCTGATTAAAATTAGATTAGAGTTAGACTATGATAATAGATTATGTTAGGGTTAGAGTTGGGGTTAGATTAGGTTCACACAACCCAATAAGTTATTTGGTTAAATCGGTTTACAATCACAATAGATTATTGGTTACAATGCCTGGACACCATCAAGTGGCAGCACTCTCCCCCTGCCAAGTAAAACACTCTGGCGTTAGACAGAGTAAAGTACTAAAGTAGGGTGCATTGCCACTTAAAGGGTTAGCTAATGTCACAAACACGAAAATGAAGCTCTGTAGCCAAATTGATGTACTTTCTGGAAAGGTGTATTTCAACACAATTGAATCACATCAATACAGCTTGGCTGCTAATGGGGTGTTTGTTTTAAATGCACTAAAATAAGGGATTAGATCCCATACACTTAATGAAATTACATGCAACAATGTTTTGGGTTTGGTGTGAAAGCACAAATAAGTTCTCTTACAGTAGTTGTATTTGCAGGAGTGACAGAATAATTATGGCATCCTCAGTATATGCTGGATGAGTACAACTATTATATTAACATTTATCAGTAAGGCAAGGGTTTCTGCATGCATGTATTTTCTAGTATACAAGTATTTCACACATGAATATATTTGTCTTTGCCCTTGACTCCAAACATAGGTCCCTGGCCTGGACCATCATTGCTGTTCCCAATTCATCCTACAAGGATGCCACTCAACGCATCAAGAATTTGCATGAGGTTCATGCCCACAAGAGTTTGACAACCACACCTACATATTTATTTTGCTTTTTACAAATCTAATCTGGTTCTTGGTGACAATTATTGTAAAAAGATGATTGACTGTTTTATACTTTGCCACTTAAAGGGTTAACAGGATGCATTAACCCAGAGTAAGGAGTAAAATAATACTGTTCTGCTATATTGAGTAACTGGCAGATTAATTAGGTAATTAGTGATTCCGATATCATAGCTTTCAAACAAAAAAATGTTGGCGAAAATTTCTGCAAAAATTTCTCTAAATGCCTTAAATCTGGTCAAATCAGATTTTGAGATAAACATTCAATAATCCTGTGATAATCGTGTTGCTTAAGAAGTGTTGCTTGGAATGATACAAAAAAGTATCATTCAAAAGCTTAAACCCTAATCTTTATTAATTGGAAAATAAATCTGTGCACTGAATATTAATATTATTGTATATTGTTAGTGGACATGTGGAACTTCTGAAACAATTGGACGTTGAACCACACACCTACAAATTTGCTTTGCAATACTGACCCAGGCACTTCGAAAATTTGTTTGAGTCATGGAAATAGCGATTTACTATTGGTGTATTGCACTATGGGACTGTTTTGGGGTATGATTCCTTTGTTCTTGTTCACCAAAACAACCCCATGATGCAATGGTAATTTCGAAGTAGCTTATTTAGTTTGCATACTAAATTATTGTAGTAAAACATGGGAGGCAAATATTTTTTTTCAATTAAGGTGGCTCCCTACAGTTATAGTCCAATTTAAAACATTGTATAGATCAGACATCATCCTTGCGACTCACGTGTGGAATCTTCATGGCCCAGTAAAAATCTTGAAAAAAGCTGTGGGAAGTTGTCATTCAACTCATTTCACATTTAGTGTTTTATGTACTGAATCCGATATAACTACAGTATAGTGCAGATGGTTACGAGTTGTTTTATACGAAACGTCAAAGTTTTCACACCCATTTTCACAACAAAACTAAATTTAAGAAACGCTGGATCAAGTCAATGCGTTATTGTATTCTCAATCGTATTTTGAACATATATCTTTTATTTTCATTTCAAATAAGTAAAAAAATATCTCTGTGAAACATTATAAGCCAAAAACTCAAAAATTGAAAATTAATAAAAAGCCAACTATAAACTGTATGCGTTTTGTGTTCTTCACACATTATAATTTACATCCATGCGCAAATAGTAATTATGTCGAATCGATATTTTGTCACATCAACAACTACCTAACTTTAGGACTATTTTTCTCGCGTTTCCTTTGGTGAAATTTTCTTAAACTGTGCACAAGCATGACCATTACTCAAACATGTCAAAATTTCAAAAAATTCTATAAGACAGATTTTTTGTAGTCGTTATTCATGAATATCTCAAAACCTGCCTTGAAACATCCCTTCAAATTTTAATATGTCATTCCTCTTTCAACCATAAATCTTTAAAAAAAATTCAGAAAAAATGACTGAAGGAAAAAAATACTGCCGTTTGATTGTAAAATTGGACAATAAGGGTGCAAAAGATTAAATGTTTTGGTTGCCATGGCAACACTAACACTGTTCCTATTTGTTTATATATGGACAGCATAAGATTTCCAAATTTTCCTGGAGATGATTATACAGTGCGAACCACAAATTAGTTATGTATGAGATTTGGGCATTGTGTCTTTGAATTAGGAGGGTAAAACATAAATACATGTGAAATGTTTTTTGTTTATAGTGGAAACATCGTTTGCAAAGTTTACATTTCATATTAGTCACATGATTACAAAATCCAGGGGTTCTTCTATAAAAGAGGTGGTCTGTAGGATGTAGGAAAGACTTTACAGAAGCAGAGAAAGCCACTATATAAAAGAAATTGCAAAGGGCAAAACAACCAAATCAATTGCTGAAAGAATAAATCGCCATGTGGTCACAGTGACAAGATTTTTGCAAAACCCTTCAAAGAGGAAACCTCGTTCTGATCGCGGCATTAGAAAATCAGTGTCAAAGCAGGATATGAACCGCCTGAGATGAAACCTACGTAAAATGCCAGGAGCAACAAGTAAAAGAATCTTTAAAGAAGCAGGTCTGCCAGATGTACCAAAAACCACCCGAAATCGTATCCTTGGGAAGCTAGGTTAGATCAAGACTATGATTAAAAGGCCTTCCTTGACACGTAGGCACAAACGTTTGAGGATGGAATGGTCAAGAAAGTATACGAAAACAGACATGAAGTTTGTTCTTTTTACTTTACTGACGAGTTGAGAGCGTCACTAGATGGTCCTGATTGCTGGGCTAAAGGGTGGGTTTTCAATGGTGATAATTGTTTTAACAGGATGAGGCATCAACAAGGTGGTGGTGGGGTTATAATTTGGGGCAGAATCATTGGAAACACTATCATCGGTCCCTTCCACGTTCCTGAAGGTCTAAAGTTGTCCTCAGCCACGTATTGTCCGTTCCCGAAAAATTCCCTTGAGCCATGGTTGGATAACCTTCCTTTGGCAACAATGAAGAAGACTATCTTTATGCATGATAATGCAGTGTCCCATGCAGCAAAGGCAACGACACAATTTCTTCACTCACTTGGATTTGTGAATGACCTGATGGTTTGCCCTCCAAACTCACCAGATTTGAACCCAATAGAGAACTTGTGGTCAATAATAAAGTGTCATGTTTATTTGAATGGCAAGCAGTATTCATCAAAAGATATGTGGATGGCCATCAAAGAATCAGCAGCCACCATCCCTAAGTCCACCATCAAGAAACTGACTGATTCAGTGAATGACAGACTTTTTTAAGTCATCAAATGTCACAGGGCCCATGTTAATAAATAAACTTTTTCTATGATTTGCATCGTTATGTTTGCCAACTTCATCAACGTGTATATTTCTAAAAATCTGTATTTGAATTTATAAAAATTTGAAAAAATTAAATATCAATAAAAATTTGAGACAATAACTTATTGTTTATTTGTTTTGAACGCTGTCAATGTGGTACCCTGCAAGCAAAGTCCTCTCGTATTTCTTCTTGGCATGGCACAGATGAGAAGTGAGAGAGACTCTGCAGAACTTGTGGAGCCGACAATCCAAAAACGTGGATAATTATGCATAATTTCAGGTTTGATACTGGTTTTATAACCGGTTTTGATCCGAACCGGAAACTACTTATTAAATCTTCTTGTGGGAAATAGGCAGTTGCCCAGCAACCTTCACACATGCTCAATGAATTTAAGAGAAGAGTATGATCAGACATTTAACAATGAAGAGTATGATCAGAAAGCACCCAACCTGAAAGAGAAATGGAACAAAATTGAACTGGAACATGCCAAGAACAACCCGTCTAACAAATTTGTATTGTATTTCGAAATGCACAAAGAGAAGCAGATTCGCGAGAAGATGATTAAGGCAGTCAGACATAAAGCCAACATAGACGGCGATTATGGCCAAAATCCCATAGAATGGCTCAATTTTCTTTCAAAGCAAGAAATAGATGAATTTGCCAACATAGTCATCGTGATATCAGTCTCACTACAGCCTTGGCAGCACTAAAGAACAGGTATCTCTATGACAACCTTGTGAAGGCCATTTATTACGAGGGTCCATATTATCGAAATCACTAGAGTGGTTAATTGTTGCATAGGAATCGAACGTCGAAGGCTCGTTTTTATGTACCACATTATAGGAAATTTTTACGCCGCATGATGAAAATGTTGCATCGAGGAGTTTCTTTATTGAAGCCGGGAGTGTGCAAAATGGACGTTTGAATAACACCAACAACAAAAAATGGTTAAAACATATTAATTTAGAACACTTAGCTGAACTGTTTGAAAGCAATGGTTTTGAAACTGTAGGAGCAATTACAGCAATGGATCCAGGCGATGTCAAAGTTATTTTCCAACCAAATGGACTCAAGCTTGGTGAGCGTAGATTGCTGGAGCAGCAAATTTGTATGTTGAAAACGAAGGTAAGTTTTTTGCCAAGTTTTTAGTGATAAATTCTTTTTCTCACTACTTGAAAAACGGCTCTTTTCAACATTTCCTCCCCTTATTGCAATGCAGTAATTCACACTGATATTTTATGCTTAGAAATGTGGTAATTCGTGGTTAGTCGAGCGAGAAGCTGAGTTTGCAGCTCACAAGGTCATTTCCACAACTACTAGAAAAGTGATCGGGGTTACACCAACCAGAAAAGAACTTACATACCCCAACTCATTAGTAAGCCCAAATGTCTCCTGTAATATGCTTTACAAAAATAGTATTAAATCAAATGTAACCTAGTAGATGGTTAATTAAGCCAATATATACCTTGTAACCCTTTAGACATGACTACCCTAAGGGCATCCCCTATTTGGCCTAACACTATCTAGGTTATTCTTGCTGTCTCAATGCCAATTAAATCTAAAACATATTAAGTAAATCTGATTTTATCAAGTCCTATTTTTTCAGCTTTTGTTCTGGATGATACAGTATATGGAACAGGGGTTATTCTAAGCTGGATTTGCTAGGTCTTTCTGGAGTTGGAAAAAAATATCTGGAGTTGTAAATGAAAAATACTGGAGTTGTGATATAATATTGATAATTTAGTCTTCAACTCAACACATATTCAAAATATATCACATTCCAGAAGTCACATTCATTAAAGTATAAAGTTATGTAATGTAGTTTAAAAGTGTAAATTAGAGAAGTTATAAGGTGTTTTTTTGTCCATCAGCCAAGCTTTGACTTTGTTCAAAACAGTTTGGCCTTCTTATTTTGTTCTACATGTTGATCCACTATGTCGTCTCTTGTGTGTTCTTTCTTCTGAGTTGCTTCTTTAAACACACCTTTGACCCATTGTTGATAGCGTGCTTTGTCAGTTTCCTCGTTCTTGCGTTCCCTTTGTTGCAGCCACATCACAACCCACATTCTTCGATCCAATTCCTCAAGAGTTGGCATATTGAAGTGAACGTATAGATAAAGATTTTGTGATTCGACATCAATAGAATTCCTCAGCGACGTTTTTACAAGGTTGCATGCACTGATTAACCTTTCATCATCACACAAGTAAGGTTTGCTGCCCATATTCTGGCAAGGGGTATGACAATATTGGGGTAAATGTTTCGTTTTCGTGCCAAATACTGCCCCATCTGAGCTAAACGTAGGTTTTGGAGAGTACGTATCAGCTCTGATGATGTTACAATGCTGTTAAATTCGAGAGAAAGTTCCATTAACGATTAATCTGAACATACAGTATTGTTTCGTGGAATTCCAGCTTGATATCAGCGTCGGGCTTTAAAGCAATAAAGGATTTGACTATTTCAATATCTTTCTGATCAACACCAAATTTCCAAATCTCTGATCTAGAAATTCCAAAAGGCAATAAATAATTTCATTCTTCACCGCTGTTAGATCTCTTAAGGCTGTCACAAAAAGGTGATGAACTCGCCTTTCTCGTGGAATACTAAGGGCAGTGCCTTTCAAGGAAAGTTGATTATATCAGGCTCTTCCTTTGAATTTTCACAAGAAGTATTATAGTAGAAGATTCCACTCTTGACATCTATTGTAGCAGAGACGTTTTGAGAAGTTCTTCTTGACAAATCAGTTTCGTTCAATATTTACATGATTGCTTTATCAACTTTCTGGAAAGTGAAAGCTAAAGGTATTGAGTCTATATATTCGGACTAAAATGAGAAGTCTGAAGTGATTTTATTCGTCGTTATCTCAGTACGTTGATCGATTTTTTACTTTGGTGTGACTAACAGTTGCTGTGACAGGGTCATATACAGTGTAACTGGAGAATCGGTAAGATTAAGACCACACCAAATTAAAAAAAAATAATTAGCTGTGCTAGTTATTCTCAGGGATAATGCAGGGCGATACAGTAGATCACCTCCTCAAGGCTTAAATTAATACTTCAACAAAGTGGCAGAATTTTTTTATTTACTGGAGTGGTAAATTATCCTTAGAATAACCCCTGATATGGAAAGACAGCTGCTATGCTACACGGTACAGGACAAATGCTGTGGGGCTCGAACTAAAAGCAAACCAGCTGAGTGAGACTTGCCATTAACAATTAATACAATTAATGACTTTTAGGTACTCACTATTTATTTCTGGCCATGTATATAAATATAATTATATAATATTAGGAAATTTTAAATAAGTGTAGGTTATAGTAAGTGTAATTACTCTGCCCCAGGAGCTGGTTGTTCAATGCTGGACTAGCGCTAACCCTGGGTTAAAATTTAGCCTGCTGTTTTAGTTTATGTATTTCTACACCCCTGTTTATTTCAAAACTTCAGAGAAGAAAACTCCTATCGATCCAGACAAGATCTCTGAAGAAATATTTCCAAATTCATAGACAAGCTGTCAGGAAGTTTAGCTTAAAATTACCATTAAAACACTTAAATGGCCATAAAACCTTAGGGAATCCATATTTTGTGGAGAAATTAACATTATATAATAACTACAGTAAAACACACAATTTGATTGGTCAACAGCCGTGCAGGATCAGACAATCCTCCACGGGAAATTCTGAACAGAAATTCTTGCACATAATTTTACAAATATACTCGCATTGTAATGTTTCATTGTACAATACCTTTCGACTTTGAAGTAAGTTTCCAATTATTGAGACGTTGGTTTAGTTGTATGAACAAATTTCTGATCGATACATTCCTGTTCAAGCAAGTAGCAACGCGTAGCGTTGAAATTTATCAGACCATGGCAAGTACAACATCTCTCGCTAGTCGCTTCAAAGTTCAAACGCTTCACAATCTTCAAGTATTCAGGTCGAGAATCTCTTCATAACTACTTTAATCAAGTTAACCTTCGTTTCACTGTAGTACTTTTATAAAACAATTACCAAATGATTTTTTCTGTGTTGGTGTTGTGTACTCAGGTGAATATGATATTTGTGATGTTACTCTGAGTGTGTATCCACACCGGGCGAGCTTGAAAAATATGCCCGGCCACGGTGGGATTCGAACCTACGACCTTTGGAATACTAGCACAATGCTGGGCAAAGATCGTAGGTTCGAATCCCACCGTGGCCGGGCATATTTTTCAAGCTCGCCCGGTGTGGATACACACTCAGAGTAACATCACAAATATCATAATTACCAAATGGTTTTCCCATCCAGGATAGCATGATCCATGCACTTGGGATGTTGCTCGACTTTCGGAAAGCGTAAAAATACACTCGCCATCACGCTTTCCGAAAGTCTCGCAACATCCTGCGTGCATGGATCACGCAATCCTGCACGGAAAACCATTCGATATTCCTTTAGTACTTAACCACAGTGGTCAGAACTTGGCACTTAAACATTTACAGTTTCCATGGAATCATGCCACGTGACATTTTTAGTGATTTTAAAGGAAAATATCGTGACCAATTTTCAATGGCATTGCAGACTTGGAAAATTGTAATAAAAGATTCCGTTTCTGTTCATTTTGAATGAACAGCTTATGCAGTGTCTTAACTTTACGTTTCTAAGTTGGAATATCTCAAGGGTATTTTTGATTTTTGGATTTTAACTCATTAACTGGCAAGCTGTTACAATGTTACCACCCCCTGAAGTGGCAAGCAATATGGTGAATTCATGATTGAATTCCAAGCTTTCACCAAAATGGCAATATCTCAGAAACAATTGCATAAAAAAGTCTGATCTTTTCAACCAAACATGCATGATATATGATTGACCAAATTTAGTTTAGATGACCTTGCATACCTATTATATATCATTAGTTTTTTCAGTCAGTATTTTTATTTATAAAGCAGTGACACTTTCATGTCACTCATCACCTAAAGGGGCAATATTTCCATAAATTTATATAAAAACCAAAAAAAAATCATTTACTAAATTAATACATATCTATATTATAACCAATTTCATCTTTTGGGATATGAATTATGAAATTATCAAAAAATTTAAAAATTACTTCTTTGCTTTTTTGGGGCATCTTGTTTACAACATGAAATTTGGAACAGTAACTAAGTGTTCAAGCTAAAACACAGTGTTTGTACATCTTTAAAGTTTTTTGATTGCTTCAAATATATTTAAAAAGACACATAGTGCTTAAATTTATTTATTTTAATATAAACCAAGGATGGGAAGGTAAGAAAATGGGAATTTTCTGAGGTGTTTTTAACACAATGACAGCCGACATTTTGAAAGGCACTCTGCGGTGACAAAACTAAAAGCTATTCACTTCTGTACTCAAAGCACTGAAAAGCATCATAAAGAGAAAAACACTTTAAACATGTGTCAGGAAAGACTCATGCTTCTATTGGGAAAGCAACAGTTTAAAAGCCAAAATTATTTTGCGCGCCAATGTAGGCTGCTATAAAATGTCAGATAGGTGGTTTCTTTTGAAGTCTGGCTCTGAAAAACAATCTCTTTTTTTGAGTTTGAAATAAGCCTTCATAAGGACTATTGTGTAGAAATGTTATCTATATATCCTCACATGAAAAAGATAACCTAATATTCAGGTATTTCACATAGCTATAAAAAGGTGAAATAAGGGACTTTCATCTTTGGTTGTTTGTCAGACGTAATAAACCACATAAGTGCCATTTTGTCGTGCGTGCCATTTTATAAAATAAACACCTCAAAACCATAAACTTTTAATTCAGAAAATTACAAAGTTTCCCATAGACATTATTAAAAATGTTCTAGTGAAGCGATTTCATGATAAGTGAACAATGGTCCCAAAAGAACTGTTAAGGTTAGTTTTTGTTAGGACTTCAATTTCATGGCTTCCCACAAAGGAAGCCATTTCAGAGAGAAGCGACATTTTGCAAACAACCGTCGCGACCTATTTTGATAACTTTTCCGTCTGATTCAACATGTAGTTACTAGAAAATGATGTTGCATCAACATTATTATCTGCTTTATCGATTTAAAGTTTTATAGGGGATATAAAAAACAGTAAAAATGCATTTTGAAAGCTTTACAACTCAAGTGCGGACTTTTTGAGTAATGTCCAATACAGATGGTGAAGGTGGTACAGATGGTGTATGATGGTCGAAGTGTGTCAGATGGTTGTCAGATGGTGCATGATGGTCGAAATGTGTCAGATGGTGTATGATGGTGTAGGGTGGTGGTTATACAGGGAAGGGTTGTGAAGTTGGTACAGATGGTACAGATGGTGTATGATGGTCGAAGTGTGTCAGATGGTTGTCAGATGGTGCAGTTTCTTAGACAACTAGTGTATATTAAAATGGGAGAAATTTTGAGGCATCCAAGGGAGACATATATGTCTGTGATATGTCATAAATCGAAGTATTGAAATTTGAGACGGCTTCTGTTTTTGTGTTCGGGTCAAGGTCTACAGCGCGCGCAGGTTTATAGTGCACTGGCCCTGGCTGAATGTTCAAAACTTTGTGAGTAGATTTACAGCCATGCCTTTGCTTAGAGATAACAATCGTTTTATGTTTCGTTGTTTTTTTGTTTACGACGTATTAGGTATTGCTTTTGCATCGATTAGAGAGTTTTGTGTTGTGTTGTCGTCTTTTGTGTTTGGAGAGAGCCACGAAAATATGTTGAATGTAGACCAATTTGTGTTTCAAAGTCCGGAACCTTCATTACCTGAACGAGAAACACAAACCCACGTTTTGTGATTTCACGAATTATTGTTTGGATAAAGGCTTACCTATTGGTTCTTTGTTACTATAGGATCGGGACAAGTCAAAAACGTGTAATTTCGGTATGGTACGGCGGGAAAATCCCCCCCCCGCTCCCTGGTCGTAAACATTCCCGGGAAAAAATTTTTAGTTGCCCTTTTCAATACCCTAAAGTGCCCCTAGAAGCCGGTGCCCCCCCCCCAATCTTTTGATGCTTCCTTTGTCCCTGAGCTTCATTATCTATTGTTTGAATTGCATTCGAGGCGACCAAAATTAGACTTATAAAACAGGCCTTAAATATGAACATGCTGCCTGACTAATGACTATAGGGAAGTCTCGCATATCGATTTTGTTCATGAGAAACGTTGTATGGACGTTTTTCTCGACACTCCATGATACCCCTTAGAAACGACATACATAGTTATCGGTATTTTGTTCGTATAGTACACATATACTGTACAGTACAGTAAAACCCCACATATAAGAACAATTTTTTGATTTAGTGCAATAGTTTTGAGGGTACAGGCCTTTAAACACCGGACTGTTAGCGAGTCCCAGCCTTCTGGGATCTAAACACGGCTATTGAATTTGGCCTTTTTTGAAAATGTCCATTGTGCATAGGAGCCTGGGACTCAGGAACTGTAGGTAGTTTAGAGGCGTGTATATATCTTTGAAATTATTGCACTAAATCAATTATTGCACTAAAACAACTTATGAATTAACTAACTTTTTACGCTCTTTTCAAATCGATAAAGGTGCCACAAGTGATATAGGCACTTTGAAAGTTTAACCTGAACAGGTTGTTATTTAAAGGGGGTCTAAATAAAATATTTAGCCTATCAGGTTCTTAAGCGAAAACTGTCCCAAGTTAATTACGAGTTTGATTCAAGCTATTTTAACACATCATAGTTAATAGAAAACAGGGTTTGAACTACTTATACTGTATATGATAGTGGTTTATGGAAAACTGATGTGTAGCTTATTTGTTATACGTGCTTATTGTGATTTTACCATAACCAATAGCAGTTCTTTAATAAACTAACCAATTCTTTAAATCACGTATGGTTAACTAAGGCTAACCTTTATGTTTTGGTTAGGTGGCCAAAATTAGAATACCCACGCGAGTGAACTAACCGTTAAGTGAAACTAATCCAGATTAAGTTCAGCTTTATATAAGTTAATCTAAACGTTGCTTCTTGTTTGGCGAGAGAAGGTCTTTGTTTTCGGTTTTTTCATAATCTTTTCCATGAAGGTCACTGGAAAAGTAATGATAACATGTTTGAATTGAGTTATTTTAATGACCATTTATCGTATTGCATCGTGTATGCATATATAACAATACATACAATTATGCATGCATGCATGGGAGTGGACACAGGACACATCTGCCTGGAACCGTGCTCACTGGCACCTTAACATTAATCTTAATATAATTACCTTTCATCGTTGGAAACACGATATGCACTGGTATATGATTCCAGGGATATTCCAAATGGTAGGAGATTTCCTAAATCTTCAAGCAGCATTTCATCCTCAGGAAGTGGATGTTTGATTAGAAATGAAATCTGTTGAAATGAAAGAAAATAAAAATAGGAGAGTTGTGATTGTTTCTACATGGATGACATTCTGTGTACACAATAATTATGTTATATTTTAAAATTAATTTGAATTTTGTATAGCACATTATTGAAGTTGATGGTCGGATATGAAATTTTATGAAAGGTAGATAAAACAAGTGAAAGTAAAAGACATGTCAGAATTAATGAAATGAAGAAAGGAATAATACAGGAATGTATTTTATCAACCTCGCAAGCCAGGGTCTTTTACTTCTGCACAGCGCAACCCTGGCTTGCGAGGTTGGTATTTTATTAGGTGATATACTATTTACAGTATGTTATAAAAAATGTTTGTGAATAAATCCATTCTTACTTGGTTGTTATTTCTTTTGTTGACAAATGTCTTATGCTCACCAAGGTGTTTCTCAGAAATTTTTATGAACATGTGCTTGGATAGTGGTGCACCTGTCAATCCGTTCACTGTAATCTTTCACAGTTTATTTTTTTTCAATAGTACACTTGCTGATACTATTTTGCCCAATGTTAGCAATATAAGTCTGTATGCTTTCAGCTCGTCCGTAGTGTGTAGGAGGGATGGCGGTATAGCTGTTTCTGATGAGAGTACGTTTTTCCCGTTCATCATAGCTAGAAAACGTAAAGAAAGACGATGTTATATAAAAAAAAATGTTATGATTGCAGTTGGCATGCTTTTAAGATGGGATGTTGTATAACGATAGGGATGATGTCAAAAAACGAAATAACCGTCTGTTTAATTAATTCAATTGTGCCCTGTGGGTTGAATGTTGATTTGTGAAACATTGGTTTTATTCTCATTATATTTTTGGCATGCTATCAATTCCGAGTATGTAACAACTTGGGGGTTGGTGATTGAGAAGCATACCTACGGGTACAAAATGTGACATTCAGTGCAGTCAAATGACAGTGGTTACATGCAGGAGTTACATAGGAGACTGCAGACTGTGAAATTGTTATGAATGAATTGGTTACACCATAATAAGCATTGTGAATGTGGCTTGGTGTAGGTATTGAACTGTAAGACCATTATTTTTGGGAAGTTGTGCAAATGAAATTGTAATTGAATAGATTCATTTATTGGCAGACAGGTTTTGAAAATCAGTCTTTCAATTGTCGCTGATTATAATATATATGAGTGAATTTTAAATTCTATTAATTAAAGTAGATGAAAGCATATCATAAGTGAATGGTAAACCTGTCACGGGTAGTTTGATTTTTATCTGCATGGAGCATAAAAAACTGTCAATGTGGTATAGCTAAATGTATAATTAACACTTAATGAAATACTATAAATTAAATACTTAAATAAATAAATAATTTGTATGCATGGCCAAAACGTTCCTTCATTACATTTGTTTAAGTACAGTTTATTTAGTATATTTTATACATAACTGTAATACACTAAGTGTATTGAAACTCATGCCAAGATGTCGAATGTATTAAGGGGTTCGGTATTGCATTCCTCGTCCCAAGGGCAAGCGTATCCGTAATTTTTTGTACTTCATAGGCCATACGGTTAGCAAACAGTGGGAAGAATAAATACCACAAAATGCTTTGTTTTTAAACTTAACAACTGTGAAAAGTTGAGAGTCCTCTTCACATGCATAAGCGAAAATATGGTTTCTTGAGGTAGCGTCACCATAATTTGTTCTGAACCGCGATTTGTAGTGATTTTTTTCTTGTGTACTGTATACTGTATGTACAAATAGTTAGTGATCTTTATATATGTTTTCGTGGCAAAATAATATTGAAAGGAAAGAGTAATTTTCACGCTGAGGTTGTTTTATTTAATTCAGTGGTAGTCAGCATGCATATAATGGGAAACTTGTTAGTGCTACAGTAATATAAGTGCTATAACCTATATTGCATGTAAAACAAATACATATATTACATATACTTACAGACATGTTGAAGGCACATGTTTACAATGGTTTGTGAAGCTTTGATGGCATTATGCGAGACAACGTTGGGTGTCTGTGCATCATTATGAGGACCTGCATCAGTCCCATTGACATCATCACTATCGGGTTGGGAGCTAGATGGTGCCTTATCAGTTGCAGGGTTGATGCTAGTATCTTCAGCTGCAAGTGATTTGTTGTGCTTGTCATTGTCATCAGAAGTGGGGGCATCTGTAGAAGCACTAGCTGATGCAGATGATGTGTTGGGCATGGACGTTTCATCACTTGTGGAGAACATGGAAAGGAGAAGTTGAATGGGAACACTTAATCTGACGATGTGGGAATTTCCTCGTGCGAAGAGTCCTGGAATATTGATTTTGAAATGTAATTAAAAATAAAATAAATAATTGTCTGGCCATTAATGAGCGGGCCAGGTAGCCCTGATCGGCAGTGCGCATATGCGGTGCAGCTTTCGTTTGTTTGTATAAGCGCGATGGATATATACTATTTTAAAATGAACAGTTAATGTCTCTGGACGAGTGTGTGTGCATACGTTTGTGGGCGGTACTGTAGTTTACTTTTAAGCACGGAGGAGACTACGTATACACATGACTTGGGTAGTAGTGGTGTAGATGATAATGAAGATCACTTTTTGCAGTTTGAAAATTAGAAGCTTTGATGGATTAGGGTTCAGCTTCAGGTTCAATATATACGAATGCGATAAACTTCAATATAATGTCAAAAATCGTAATGTTTAAATGGGATGTAATGTAGACATTTTTGAATTTACAACACATGAAAGGCCTGAAATATCCTGAAGGGGAGATACATTTAATAATATATTAGGTATAATATATTAGGTTATATTGAATGGAACTCGGCAAAAAATAATTTGCCTGGCAACTGGCAGACATTAACATTGCTAGTTATACATCTCTGCATGCGAAATTACGAGATTATTTATAGAGTGAATAAATGGGTTTTTTTACCTGACAGCAATAAGTCATGTTGATACTTTTCACAAACATTTAGCTCCCAGTCATTGTAAATGTTGTAAAAACAATTCTTGGCTTCTGGTGATAGGGACCACTGCTGTCTCTGCACATCAACAGTGGTGACCTTCCCAACTTGTTCGGTTGTATATCGTTTCTCAGATGCAATATAAAGCTCAACCAGCATATCAACTAAAATAAGATGTTCATATAGAAGATTAACCAATATAGTATAAAGGGAGTTTTCCAACCTGTAGCTAGAGTTGCCACAAGTCGACCATGGGGGGGAGGGTGGGTGCGGGGGAGGGAGCGCAGGGGTCTGGAAAGGACTTTGGAAAGAGGGTGATGTTAATGTTCAATTTTAAGGGGCTGTTTGAGTGACCATGTGGCTAGCCCAATTAATTAACCGGGCTGGATATTGTCACAAAAATATTTCCTGGGCCGCATGCAAAATGAGATTTCAATGAACTGAAGGACGACTTTCCATGAAAAGTAAACAGATTATTCATTACAAATTCATTTTATGCGAGATTTGAGAAAACATTAAAACCCTGAAGATAAGCCCGATTAACCGGACTGGCTGGGTCGCCTCTATTGAAACATCCCCTAAGTGAATATTGTGGTAAATAGTATTTAGTTAGAAATACTAAAATTCTAGGCAGCATAAAATATATTTGTTAAAACTTGTAAGCGCCCGAGGGTTTTTTAAGACTCGCGTTGCCATTGATACATATGTTAAATATTTTTTGTTTTATAAACAAATGTCAGTGCCGCCCGACCGAACATTTTGAGATTTTTTTTAACATTTTATATCAGAATTTCCAAATTAAAAAAGTGGCAAATTTCATTCGCGACAAATTATCGCATTGCGCACCATTCATTCAAAAAATTCGCTAACATTGAACTATTTTGCGGATTCATACGTATAGATTACGTTGTGATATATATTGCAAATGAAAATGATTAATTTCAGCAAGCACATAAATATCAAAATACCTCCCTCCCAAATTTTTAACATTCAATATTTTAGTATAAAATAAAATATAAATTTCCAGCGTCCTGGACATTTTGAAAATTTAGTGATAGTAATTTATTTCATGTGGCGCCGTGAAGTTGAAAAAAGATGTACACTTATTATTTGAAAATTTGTTGGAGATGTTAAGGCATAATGTGTTTATAATTCAGGCAAATTTCATAGCCGTGTGGCAAATTATATTACAGACTTAATTACAGTAACGATACACAATAATAAATTTTTAAATACGAAAGACCGAATAGGCAATTCCAGCTTTTAATTTATGTGCTCAGGGGGTGATGAGAAGTAAGCTATGAATATGATATTGCTGATTAGGCTGAAAATTTTGAATAAAAACTGCCGAAACATTTCAATATTATATAAGCTATCATAATATGATCACAATATTATATAAGCTATCATAAGTATAAAAGCTATCACAACGGCATTTTTTATTTTTTTCAGCATAATCAGCAATATCGTACCTGCTTACTTCCCATCACGCATACACTAACACAGCAACCCTCGCAGAGCGGTGGGGGGACTCGCAATCAGAGGTTTATGTTAGATCGTTGATATCATTTGCAATTTGATCAAAGGTAATAGATGAAAGACTATAAAATAATGTGTTTACGTAGATTTTCTCTGAAACGTTGGACTCTCAACATTTCATGCTCTGACAAATCTAATTCTTCCAAGCAACAGTAGATCGGCTTTGGGAAATACCACAGTATACGAAAGGTAAAACCTTTGCTGTTGTTGTGAATGTCTTCAATGATAGGTAGAGCGGATTGTGGTTGTGTGAATCCCAGGATGGTAAGAGATGTTTCGCTTACATTGTAATTGGCATTTCCAGTAACTAAAAGAAAGTAATAGGGAGTGAAATAGTTAATTAGCCATTCCGAAGTTGATGAGAGAACTGGGACGAGCGTTAAAAAGTGCCGAAATTAAGAAATGAACCAAATCACTACGAAATGAAGACGTACAATACCTTTCGAATAAGAAGTTTTCGAGAAATGTGAAATTATGGATTAAAAGACTGTTTTTGGGATGCGCGTCCCCCAAAACAAAAATTACAGTACATTTCATAGTAATATCGCGATTTTCGAAAGCTTATTAGTTATTATTCGAAAGGTATTCATGTAAACGTCTTCAAACTCTGTATACTTACTAATTTTTAGGTGGTCTTTTTAGTGATTTGGTTCATTTCTTAGTTTGGGCACTTTTTAACACTCGTCCCCAGTCCGTTAATTAACTTCGGAATGGCTAATTGTGGGAAGCGGTAACGAGTCTCAATATTAAATTCATTATTCATCAATACTTGGTAGATTTATTTGAATATACAATATTAAAATGATGGAAAAAGTTGCACTCATCACTGCAGATTTCTAGTACATTTGTCATTTACAATGATTTAAATAACGAAAAATAGAAAAGCAGTTATTTTAATACATGAATTACTGTAGTAGTTGGAATATTTGTAATTGAAAAATACAATAAATTTCTCACTTCCGAATACGCCAACCTCTGTAGCTGAGTTGCTTACAGTTTTGTGATAACGAACACTGCGTTGTGCATCAAAACGTGCAAAGGTTTAAAATTTTCACTGTGATAAAATGAATTACTCTATGCAAATACCGGAATATATCTCAAATAAAGGTTGGTTATAACGGATCGAGTCCTGGGGAGGCTGACAGAGCTGTCGCATAATGCAACCACAATAGAATTTTTAAGAAATATGGACAATATGAATACCTAGTGCTAATGAGTTTAGTTATGGAATGTCTTGAAATATCCAGTATAAATTAAAATATTTCATGATTGTGTTTGAAAGTTTTAATTGTGTTATAGACTTATAGAATTTGTGTTAATAGTACCTCTTGTTAATATATAGTTTGCAGTACTATAGGGTGACTGTGTGGTTAATTTAATGCAAGAAGGTGGTGAAATGGCAGTACTACTTAATAATTTCATCTATTTAGAATTTAATAGCATCATGATGATACCAGCAATTAAGTCATCCGAAGTTTAAAAGAACAAAGGGATTGGAAAATGTATATAGTTTGAAAATTGCACAATATTACAATTATACTTTTTGTGTGTGTTGGTGTTATGTAGTCAGGTTAACTCTTTTTCGTTTGGTGCTGAAATAACCAGGTCGAAACCGACCTGGTATTTTGCAGGTTCATATTTTCGGTTCAGTGCATGCTATATAGATGAAAATAACACCATTCGATTCAGTGAAAAAATTCCTATCGATAGATATAATAAAATGTCAACATTATAGCGATTTACAACCTTTAGAGGGCAAGCGGTGTCATATTTCACTAGATTACACAATATTCCCGAAAAATGTAAGAATGTAATAAAATGTATCACAATGGCATACCTTTCACCGAACATAACTTCGGCCCCTTTCCAGATATCTTTTTCATAATAGTCTTGTTCGAATCACAATCCAAAACACTATTTAGAGTGTTATTTTCAAGCTTGTATCAACAAATTTGCATCTTTTATTTCGGAATTTCAAAATATCTAAATTTTACGCGAGAGCTTCGACGGCGGTTCAACCGGAAATACACTTTAGATCTGCCAAAACATTGCGTTGTTTAAATCCTATCGCTCGGGAAACGTCGGAAATCGATTCTAAAGGTCAAATTACACCTGCAGCGTGATTTGCACGTGCATCGGGCTACGGGTGCTCCTTATTGGCCAATTTTAGCGTGTGGCGGGCGCGTGGGAGTAAAAACCGGTAAAAACCCGACATTTTGAAAAAATCGAAATAAATATATTTCTACTGGCCGTATTCAAACGAAATTTTCCACACAAAAGCGCTTGAATACAAGGAGTATTTCATTCAGATTGACTTGTGGGGAATTCCGAGGAGTTCAAGAGATATTCAAGATTTTTTGGATATGAAATACACAATATTTGGCAAAGCGGTGAGTAAAATACACGATTGTTTTGGTTTGTGTAATGTTATAACGGCATTTGACCCCCCGTTCGAAAGGTTATTTTATGAGGATTTCAACGGTGGTTTCCGTTTTAAAGGGGGGTAAATATTCTTTGAGATATTTACATCGGAAGCAATTGAATGAAAAATATGAAATTTATTGCAGGACGATAAAGAGTTAATATGTTTGTGGTGCTACATACTGACTGAGTGTGCATCCACACCAGGCAAGCTGAAAAGTTTGCCTGACCTCGGTGGGAATCGAACCCATGACCTTTGGGATAGTAGTGCAATGCTCTACGAACTGAGGTACTATAGAATGTCAAGTCGGTTCGAGTTGGTGATATTTCGGAAAATGATTCAAATTCCTTCGACATCAATGTGCTATAAGGTATCATATCTTAGAGTATATTAATATTGAAGGAACTAGCCTGATACCATGGTCAGGCAAACTTTTCAGGTTGTCTGGTGTGGATGGACACTAAAAGTAACACCACAAAAATTGCAATTACTATACGCAGTATGTGTAGTATAACGAGACTAAACATGTCATGCATCAGAAATGCTTAATAAATTATTGGACTTTGTCATGTAAAGGCTTGTTTCTGACCATGTACTGTATTTGGCAGAGAGTACAGATAACTGTTTATAATATTTTGGGATATTTCACACAGTATACAGTATGTACATGTTTTCAGGAGGTTTTTGTATGTTTTACCCATTAATAGGCAGTACAGAACTACTGACAACTAAATTCGTATTGTATTAGACAGAGTAAATTGTAAATTAGGATACATTTGGCACATTGGTAGTCAATGCGTATAGCGGTAAGGTATATATATATATATAAAAGACAAACTTGAGTTTGTTTAAAACATTTATTCACGACAAATTTGTTTCGTATGGCAAACTAGGCTTGCCACACTCATCAGGTGAACCTGATGAGTGTGGCAAGCCTAGTTTAAATTTGTCGTGAATAAATGTTTTAAACAAAGTAACTCAAGTTTGTCTTTTATTTACTCTACTTTTGTATCGAGCACTCTATTCTTATGATTCGACACTCAATATACTTATTGACATTCGCCTATATATGTATATATATAGACCTAAATTTTATAAAGAATGGTTAAAGTCGTTTATAGTAACAAAAAATGCAGATTTCATATGCAACATACTTGTCTCTCTATTTTTTGCTTTTCCTGTGAACAGCTGGAGAAAGTCTTGATATTCTCTATTATCTTGTACTTGTCCCTTTGAGGCTGAATACATGTTCATTATTGAAAAGAATGAGACTAGCTTGTCGAAAAGACCCATAATTTTGCCACCGTTGTTTGCCATAATATCGCCAAACTTATCCCAGGTGCAGTGTGGCAGAAGTAATGTTTTTGGAGATGTTACTTGACAAAGTGCATTGGCTTTTTCCTTAACTTCCTGCATAATTTCATTAAGGAATTTATGCAATGCACTCTTGCAGCGACCTTTAAGTAGAAATAAAATAGAAGAATTATATTAGTTGAGTGAACAAATTGAAGTAAACCAACCGGCTATCTCTATCAATAAATGTGAAGGGTTAATTAATGAACAAATGTGTGAATGAATCATGACTACTCTTCCAGGGTTAAAGTAGAATTGTAATTGGAAAAATTGAAATAGTAAAGTAGGGACACATAGAGACATAGGAAATTAGGATAGTATATTCAAGATGATTTGAATGGGAGATAATGGCATAAAAATATGTTGATGACTAATTAACTCCCAATTCACCCTATAACTGTTGAACTACCTGCTGTAAGGGACTGGTGAATAAATGCATGGTAGGTGGGCTGAAAAAAGGGGAGTGGCTCATCATATTTACATGTTGAAAATGTGACGACCCACCAGCCGTTTTTTCATTGAAGATTTAGCGACAGTTTGTGTATGTGTGTGTTGGGGGGGGGGGTCACAGTAAAATCTCCTTGATTCACATAGGTATTAAGAAGTAGAGAATGTTAAAACGGTGAAATAATATAATAAGTATTAAAATTTAAAGTATTGAATTATATATTGATGACTAATTAACTGCCAATTACCCTACAAATGTTCAGAACACTTGCTGTAAGGGATATATATTTTCAACATCTAATCCCTTTTACATGTTCAAAATGCGATGGCACACCGCCTGGTTTTTCATTGAAGATTTAGGAACAGTTTGGGGGAGCCTTAAAAGCAGCGCGTGCCTGAAGCAGCAACTTGTACTGAAATTGTGTTATTTGTGCGATATTGATTGTTGACAAGATAGATAATGAGTATTCAATGGTATTCAGAAGTGAGAGCAGACTGAATAAAAATTAAGTCTGTTGACTCAAACTCATATTTAAATTTGCATAATTTTAGGCAGTACTTGTATGAAGACAACTGAAGTACTTTTGGATTTGACATTGACAATGTAGATATTTTAATACCTATTATTACTCTAGTTTCAGTCTTCATACAGTATACCAGTTGACGTGCAGTGTATATCATGTTTATAGGGATTCCAGAAATTTATAGTTCTGAAACTTGTATCGTTCTTGTTAACTAAAAATTTATCAAAAATAGCTAGGGGAAATGGATAGATGTTTGCAAATGATGTGCGAATAATAATAAAGTGTCAAAACACTATTGTACATAATTGGAAAAGAAAATAATTTGTGTCTGAGACATTTATCGCAAATACATCAAATTGTATTTTAAATTGAAGCTTAAATAACAGAGATTGTAAATTTGCAGCTCATATGCATCGATAACAGTAATGCTTATTGAAGAAATCTGGTCTCTACTAGGTGCAAACTAGCCTGCAAACAGGCTCACTGGGAGAAAGGTGAGCCTGCACGGAACCATGCATTTTATTCAATCATCCTCCCATCGCATCTGCTAAACGCGAACCAATCAGCGTCAACTGCAATAAATAAACTGTCAAAAGTCAAATTGACGCAAGGCGTGTACATTGTGCAACGAAGAAATACTGAATATTTCAAAATAATACAAAGCATTAGCGGGCCGCACAATATATTACTCGGAAAAATATAGAATTCTTCAAATATAAAGCCGAATAAAAATATAAAGCCGAATAAAATACTACCATTGGCATTGAATGTACAGTAATACTTGTACTATGGTGCGACTGAAAGAACAATGTTCTGAATATTTGAAGCGATTACTAAAATACGGTCAGATAGATTGGGATTTGGAATACCGAATAAGTCTAAAATTTTACTAACTGTGTTCTAAATAAATGAGCATGTATTTATTAATTTCTTCGAAATCATGAGTGTGCCAATAGTGGAAGCCGTATCGACGACGAAATTATCAGCAGTTTATACAGTAAATAGTACAACGTTTAATGTACGATATATATTTATCTAAATGACATGCCAGTGAGGATCAACAATATAATTATTCGTACATATTTGGGTATCTTTTGTATGCCTTCGCTTGCCGACTTGCTCACTAATGAGAATACACGATGGTCGGTTGCTATGCGTTTTGCTCCCGGAAGCGCGGGCTTCGTTTTTTCCAGCAGTGTTGGTGTGAAGGCGAAATGGCGTCGTGTTATTTTATGATCGGAAAGGTCATGTATTTGGCCGGCTTGAAATTTCTTACTGTTAGAACAATTTTTTGGGTTTATTTTAACTGGTTTATGTACTTCAATATTTAAAAGGAACTATTGTGATAATTTTATTTAGCAGTCAAATAACAATCGGATCTATTACTTAGGGACTACCGTCGAATAGCTCTAGACGATATATCAAATTCGCCTCCTGTATAATAGTTCAAATCTTTCATATTACGGAACGCAAACCAGTGTACAAACTGTTCCTCTTTTCGCCTAAATTCGTGTTTCTTCAGCAGTATGTGTAGGTAATTTGGGGAAAATTATCTGATGCTACTTAGGACTAATACAGTGTATATATCTATTTAAATAATATACCGACTGAGAAACATATTGACTCAGTCTGACTGTTTTGGTTGGCGACAAGAAATCTAGCTATACTATAGTTCTGTTCACGCAAGAATTTGTTTGATGAATATGTTCTATTATAAAATGCTTTCATTTTATATTTGTGTATGCTGTATTTTGAGATATATAAACACATACTTCCATTGTATAGATGACAATATATATAGTAGATTTAGCTACAGTGCACTCATATATTTCCATGCCAAATTACTACAGTTTATAATCGGCTGCGCAACTGATCCGTAGCGACATAAAATAATAGTATTACAGTATATACCAGTGATTTAAATTCCTTAAGATACGCAGCTTTTCCAGAAACAGATTTCATGTCTTTGCGCACACTTAATTTTATCATTTAGTTACAATTCCAAGCGCTTTTCATGATGGTTTTCGCGTGAGGATCATATAGTACGTCTGCTACTCTCACGACTCAGATTACCAAGGCATGTTGTCTTTATATCGACCTTTAACGAGAAGACGGCTCCCCGACCGTAGCTTAAATAAATGCATGTGTAACTGATTTCTTTTGTAAACTATAACTAAGTATTCTGTAGTTATATTAATGTAAATAAAACTTGTGTAAGCCACACGATAAGCTTTTATCGAAGTAAAGAAACCAGCTAACTCAACACACGCAGTATGAGGCGAAGTAAACAAATATGAGAATACAAGAATACATGCAGATAAATCAGTAGTTTCAGCTATCAGTCTCATTTTATGGCCCTTGATGTATCGTGTGTACACCCTGCTTTCGTTTTTACGATATCTAGGCTATAAACACCAGATAATTCTACCCCTGAAATGGGCCGGTAAGTGTTGGCTACTATTAGTTAATAGGTTTATATAATCAGACTGCCTTTCAAACAAAAACCTACAACTTGTGGCCTATGTTGTAATTTTAATATTTCGATATCACATATTATATTAAACTGACAATCAACTTATAATATGCAGCCGTTCTACAGCTTATACTATTTAGTAACTTAATTAAGCTGGGTTCCAATGCCAAGCTCAATTAACCTTAAGTTTATTCTTAGTACAGTATGAACCTTGCGTGACTTGCGCGACAGATCTCCTTGGCCTTCTCTGAGCTTAAAGAATGGAGATTTTTTCCAAAAATAATCCGCTAGTGGTCTCTGTTTGTTGGATTTTGCTGGATTTCCTTTATTTCCATCACACGTTTGACTTTTACAGCAAAAATCTATCGAGTTATAAAGACAAGACAGCGGGTGGTGAAGCAACAATATGGCGAGTCACGAATACGCTAATAATGCAAATGAGTTTGCCGAAGGATATTTTCTCCTCACCTTTCTTCGTTACTGCTAACCATTAGAAGTTCTTCAATAAATGATATTCTTCAACTTTGATTTGGGAAGTGTCTCCAGATTTACGTTTTAGCAAAAATATTTGAAAAATAAAACGAAAAATGCGGAATTTCGACACGTTGTTGCTTATATCTCCGATAATGCTAATAACCCCAGAGGCATCTCAAGGGGGGATTGTAGGTAATATCCATCGGCCAAAAGGCGAAAAAACATGCCCATTGTTAGACTAAAATTTGACCGTTTTGCGCTAACACTGCGACTAATTTGGATGGTAATATCCCTAAACGGTTCGAGGATGTATCTATTGGGTGGCAAATTTTTTAAGAAAGTTGCAAAAGATACGCGAACGAGAGCGTCGAAAACGGGGTATTTTAACCGCGCCTTTGATTCACAGCTTGGAGACAGGAAACAACAAATGCTAGCAATTTCACAGCGGGAGCTCTCCGGGAGCAAAATGCATAGCAACCGACCACCGTGATAATCCGTGAAGCCACGACGACCTCAAAATGTACTATACTATAGTCTGATATCAATCCGAAGACGAAGTTCAGAATACTGTTATAGTTTCGTGTATTGGATTTAAGCGATAGATTCAAGTCATTTATGATAGACCTTTTTGCTGTGATGCTTTGCTATTGCTTTTGGTTTCCATTTCTAGTTTTATTTGTTCGATAGTCTTATAAATATATAATATTAAAATGAATAAAGTTCAAATTCTTCAAAATGATGTTGTTGACATTTGCTATTTTTAGTAATTTTGTCAACGAGTGTAAGCCAATCAGAAGCCTGCGTTTCTATACGAACGCCACTACCAAGAAAACATATAGTTCCGTGCAGGCCCTCTATTCTTTGTGCCACCTATAACCCAGGGCCTGTTCGCAGGCTAGGTGCAAACAAATAAATATAATTCACTCCTAAAATTATTTTATTCATTATGATGAAAAGTGCATTACACGAGCTTTCATCTGGTATATAACTTTATCAATCAGCAAATTATTGTTTTATCAGAATTTTTGTCACTTATTGCTGGATACGTATTGTACAATAGTAGCCAAATATAGGTTGGTTGAAGTATACATGTACTTTGGAGTTCCATTTTGGCATATCTTCACTCACTTGCCATTCAGTTTTGG